CCCATGTGTACAGTCAAAATGCAGAAGTTAATTTTTAGTCATCAACCAAGAGATATTGCCAACCGACTACGATTATAACCGGAGCCGACATAAACACAGCCGATTTCTTCCACCAAGCAACTTGGCAAAAATATTTGCTAAGTAACAGTCTAACTCTCTGCTCTCGGGCAGAGAGGAACCCGGACGAGGCTCTGCCGAAGGGCAGAGTCTCGTTCGGGGTGGTTGGCTGAGATTCGATCACGGCTACGACTAGTTATGACCGGCTTCGGCCTGGACTAGCTAAGACAAGCCATGACCAGCTTTGATTAAACTCTGACCAGCTTGGACATGCTATGACCAGTTTTGGACCAGTGGCCCTTGAGTGGAAACACTCGGGTCTCCCACGTTAAACCGACCTTGTGTCACAACCTGACCCCGTGGGAGTCAAGTAAATACTACTTGGCAAAAATATTTGTTAAGTAACAGTGTAATTCTCTGCTCTCGGGCGGAGAGGAACCCGGACGAGGCTCCGCCGAAGGGCAGTCTCTCGTTCGGGGTGGTTGACTGCCCTTGAACCCGCTTATGCAGGTTCAAAGAGGGAATATTTTTGGCCGAGCCTACGGGCTCGGAAATCCCACGTTAATCTCGGCCTTGTGCCATATGTAACTCTCGTGGAGGGGTAGCTAAATATCACTTGGCAAAAATATTTTAAGTCAAGTGATAGCGATTGCTGTATGAGTCGTACGATTTTTTGAATCAAGCACGGGCAGCGCCGGGCCATGCTGCTAGTATTAGATAACATTAGATATTCGACCGAAAGGACGTCAGATCACATTCAGGATAAATCAGCTGAGGATCAAGCCCACTATTAGTGGTTCGGATATGGATAATACGTTTGTCACATCAAGATTACTCGTTATTTCCTTGTGTCCTGTTTGCCTTCTTTTGTTCGTGTCAAATTCTCCAAAACCCCTTTCCTCATTTCCTAAGATATTTTAATTTTTTCTTTCTGATTGTAAATATAAGCGTTCTTTGTGTTCCCCTTATTCCTTAAAACTTCCACATCGTTCACATGCTTCGCCCATGGTACACTCGGCATTCTTTCGCAAAACGACATTTCTGTTGCCTAAAGTCTCTTCTTCATCTGTGAGGAGTTTATCCAATATTCACAGGAAGACTGATATTACATAACAATTGAATACTCTTTTCTTTGTTTCTAACGATTTTTTTTACTTGACACTTTCACATTTCCACAACATTTTATCTACCTGGGCAAATAACTCATCTACATTTCTATTGCAATCTTTCAATGTCTTTCGGCTTTCATAAGCCATTATTAAAGAGTTTTTGCATTTTTGTTATATGTTAGTTTCATTGTTTTTCAAATATCATGTCTTCACGCGTCATGTCGATTTTCTAAAATATCGTATCTTCAGGCCTCATCTCTTATTGTGTTGTTTTTTCTTATGTATATCAAGATATGTCCCCATCCCAGAAATTCAGACTGCAATTATCCTCATATTCCGATATTTTATTTTTTCTTTATTTCCTTCATTTCTTTACTCTTTTTTTGGGGTCCCTAATTTCTATCACCCTTCTTGCAATCATTTTTCTTTCTTCTAAGTTGGTTGCCCCATATGAAATATCGTATTTTTTCGTTTACCGACTTTTCATAAAAACTGACAAATATTTATCGGAATCAGTTATAATTTTTGGTTTTATTTCTCAAGAGTCTCTTTGCTATTTTATTTTCAAATGTTTGATTCTATAAAAAAAAACAGTATTCGTTGTTTCCAGAAAATGTTAACAATTAAACAATATCGACAACTCCTATTATATAGATTCAAATTAACCCACAATGTTAACAAAACATCAGTTTTGAATTTGGCAGTAGTTTTGTTAATGTAAGAACTATACAGAGACGGTTTGAGAAAATTTGTCCAGGAGATGAAAATGAATCAACAGGAAGATCTGGTTCAGTCTTAAAAATGATCAACTGAAAAAAAAGCAGTCAGAAAAAGCCTTCAGAACTTCGAACATGTCGGATGTAAAAAAGAAATAAGCTAGACCAGGTGGCCCAATTCTGCTCCATGACAATATGTGCCCTCACACTTCACGGTCCACCGTGCAAAAGTTGAACAGACTTGGTAATGAGACATCTCTCCCACAGATTATGGTTTATACAGAGAAAAAACTTCATGTTTTCCATACGTAATAGAAGGTTCTCTCATAGTGAAGATGAAACCGAAACATTTCAACAGTTCATTGAGATATTTAGAATTATTTACCAACATTTGTCTTGCAATATTAAGTTGTATTACTGTTATATAGAAATAAAGTGTCACTGCCGACATCTGAGTTTAAACGTAGATCGCCAGAGAGTAAACACAGAAGTATTGTTCAACGGCGTACTATAGTTGTAATCTGCGATTACAAAGCCTTTACTACAACGAGCATTACGAAAATGACAACGAGTGTTCGTTGACATCACAAAAATTACGTATATAATTAATGGTTTGTATTAAGAATATAAATCCAAACGTTAAAATATGTTTTTCTTCTATTTAAAACGAAGAAGAAGATCTTAATTTAACAATGAAATATGCATATTTCAATATATTGACATTAAATGTTCAATACTTGTTTCGTTAACATATTTATGATTACAAATTGGTTTATGTTTACACTGTTTTAGGTATGGATCTTATCTGTGATTAAGTAGACAATATTCTTATCGTCTCCCCAGTCATTGTTCGTTGCAGTTACTGTGACAACCGAGGCACCTATAATAGCATCTTCGTTCACTTGATGGTAGAAATCCAATATATAATATGTAAGTGCTTTTGATAATGAAATGGTTGTATAAAGAATTTAAAACGAAGGTATCATTGAAGATCTTAATTTAACAATGAAATATGCATATGTCAATATATTTATACATTATATGATCAATACTTTAGCATGATTATTTGGATATGCGGTGGTGTAATGGATAACGATTGTTAATCGGATGTGCGGATGGTGTAATAGATAATAACTTGGGATTATTAATTGGAGAGCCGACGCCCAATTCTCGTTGGGTTCGTTATATTCACTTACGCGTAAATACTCTTGGTAAAGTTATGAATCCACCTCTTCTCCCCCCAGCCATGGGTTAATTAGTAACACTTGTATCACTAAACTATTATTATCTAAAAAAAAAAATTACAATCTAAAAAATATGTTTTACTTTTAAATAACCCGCAAAGGCTTGGTAAGCCGTAGAAAACGAATCGATCAATCAATTCTTGAAGGAAACTCGCCCTAATTGATCTTGCTTTTAGGGGTGTAGTCGTACTCACCAGGCATATTGAATTCAGAGTTATCCTTCTCTTAGACCAGTTGCCACCCATATAAGGCTATAAGACCAAGTCTATTATGCTATTTACCCATAGCTGAGGGAAGAGGAGATGAAGTCACACCTTTCACAAGTGTTATACCGGAACATACCTATTCTATTGTTAATAGACTCTGCCACATATAATAAGTAGTAGTAGTAGCAGTCGCCAGGGGGCTCAGTGGAGTTGGTCCGTCAGTCGATGGATACATTAAAGTATCAACCACCACAACTAGATTGCTGCGTCATTAACTATTATTTCAAGTTCCTAACGTTTTGTACGTCGAACCTTTTTTAGGACCGACTTGGTGAAATACAAGCCTCCACTACTCTACAACACATTGGCGACGAGGGATTCGTTCTCATACGGAGGAAGAAAAATTTTTCGTTCACTCTATAACAACTTTGGCAACCAGGATTCTAAACTCATACGGAGGAAACAAAAAAAAAAAAAAAAAAAAAAAAAGAAAAAAAATTCGTTTCGCCATATACAACACTTGGCGACGAACGTATTTTGGATTCATACGGAAAGAAAAACAAACTTTTCGTTCACTCTACAACACCAAGGGTATCAGCACCTAAGTAAATGTAGGTAGGAGACACGGTGGAGTAATGGATTGCGGCTCGGATTGAAGAATCGGAGAGCCGAGTACGAATTTCAGTCGAATCCATTACATTCACTTACATACTAATAGCCTTGGGAAAGGCATGAACCCCCCCATTTTAATTTTAATCAATACGGGATTTTACAGTGGTTTTAATTACATTTACTTACGTGCTTACTCCCAAGCTGTGGGTAAATAGCAGGACAGACCGGTTTCTATAGCCTTGGATGACAACTGGTCTACCGCAGAAAGAAATGACAACCTACTGCGGGAAGAAAATCTGCCTCGACAGTCATGTATCGAAAGATACATGATCGCTTAAGAGTGTATCACGCATGGTACATAACTGAAGTAAATGTAACAAACTGAACTATAATTTATGATTTATACACAGAAAAAAAATGTTGCTTTTTATATGCGTCATAGAAAATTATCTTACAATTCTCTAACAGTTTATTAAGGCAAACGACGAAAAGTTTTCTTTTAATGAGACAAACAGCTTAGAGTTACGCTGGAAGAAACCTGTGAAACAAATCGGATATTATTTTGATTGAATAAAGTGTTATTTTTGTCATCCGACTAAATAGGACTATATTGTAAATATAAACAAGTATTATACTTTTTGATGTTTAGAAACCTTTCCTTCACATAGCACAAGTCAAATAAGGGAAAAAAGAACGTTAGGAATATTATGTGGCAGCGCTATTTCTAGTGGGAAGGGTTTGACTATCATGAAAATCAAAAATCCAAATCAAGGCATTTAACTTGACTCGAACACAGACCTTTGGCATTGATCGAAAAAAAAAGTAACTGCCTTAGCTATGAAGCAGACTTCTGAGTAAATTTTTATTTTTACATATCATTTTCTTATCTTTATGCTTCTATTATGTTTTCGACATCCTGCTCAATGTTTTTTCACCACAAGCCCCCCCCCTCGGCAAAAAAAGAACACTCACTCCCCATCTTCTCCATCACCGTCAATCTTCATCATTTTTGCCTCTCATTATTTTTTTCTGATGTATTTTGCAAATATAACAACTTCAAATGAAAAGAAACTTTAACTTTAGAACGCTGTTCCCAAGAGGGGGGGGATGAGACAGAGAAGGGTGAGAGAGGCGAATTTCCAAAATATGCCGTGCCTGGAGGGAAGGCATTAAGATGGCGTCCACCCACCCAATCAGCAAACTTGAAGTCCCAAAGAAAAATATCAGCGCGCCGCGACTGGAAAGAGATAAACCACTGAAGATACAAATTTCAGACAGTTTGAGATTACTGGAAAAACAAAATGGAGACGGAACTGTTAAAGTGAATCGTGTTATTTGTATGAGAAAAAAACAAAAAACAAAAACAAACAAACAAAAAAAAGAAAAAAAAAGAGAGGCAAGCTGAAATGATATAACAAAGGAAACGAAAGTAAAAGAAAGTGGAAAGGAAGAAAATAATAGGAAAAAAGAGAACAACATGAAAAAAAAAAGAAAGGCTTGAATTGTTTTTGGAGAGAAAGAAGAAAAAAAAAGAGAAACAAACAAATGAAGAGTTAAAAAGCGGAAAGAAAAAAAAATGTCAAAGGTATGTGAGAAAGAGAGAAAAAGAGGGGAGAGAAGAAAGTCAAGAGTGATAGAAATGGGAAATTATTGAGGCGGGAGGGGGAGAAGAGGAAAACAATAAAAACGAAAAATTAAAGAAAAGGTAAAAAGAAAAACAAAAGGAGGAAGTAAAGAAAAATATGGTGGTAGATAAATGTTGCATTGAATTTAACCCGCCAATACCACCGTTTCAAAAATGGAGGCATGGATTATGGGTAGAAAACTAAATAATAGTAGATAATAATAGTGGATTTATTCTAAATCCATAATTAAAGCTGATTCTGTTTTAATAAAGTTATAATTAATAGCGGATATCTTTTAAATCTATAAGTAATAACGAATTTCTATTAGAAATTAATTCCGGATTTTATGTGGGCATGTAATGGGTCAAGAGAAAATGCAAGTTGACAACGAGCGAAGACGTGAGAGAGAAAAATAAAAAGAAAGAAAAAAGAGATAAAAGAATCATAAAGGAAGAAAAGAAGAGGAGGAAAGAATAAAAGGGAAGATAAAGAAAAACGTAAAGAAACGAAATCAGAAGAAAGGTTGAACTGTAGAAAGAGTCGAGGGGGTTAGAAAAATTTTAAGAGTAAAAAATTAAACAAAGAGACAAAAACGAAAAAAATGGGAATAATTCGGGAGAGAGAAAAAAAAAATGGAAAAGTCATAACGATATCTGTTTTATTTTTTTGGTAGGTTTTCGTAGAGAAAAGTCGAAAGTTGATTTTCAAGGAAGATAAATCTAGAAAATTAGCGCCAAAAATTATTTTGCAACACTTGGAAATATACTGATACTTTACTCACTCTTATCTTCCCATACATATATATGTATGCATATATGTATGTATGTATGTATGTAATGTAATGTACTACTGTACGGTACTGTACTGATGCGGCATTCACCCTGGGCGGATTGAGCCGGCTTCTTCCTGTTATGAGAAGAAGATTCTTGGGATAAATTACAGAAGTAGGGTACCCAGGCCTACTCGGATAACGTTCTTGCTTGCCGCGGGGTTCCCACAGACGCAGAGACAGGAACGACCAGAAGCCGCCGGTTACCGATGCAGACGCCCTTGATTTTCACCAGAGCCCTTGTTAAGCCGGCGTGTGTGTCAGACCTGTCCGCCTTGGTGGCCCTACCAGGAACGAAGTTCCGGGCGGCATAGCTCTGACACTACTGTTTACACCCCCCACCGACTGTGAGGTAAGGGTTGGACTTTGGGGGCTTACAGTACCAGGTGTTCCCAAGCGGTCCCCCATCTAAGTACTGACCTGGCTCTACGATGCTTAACTGTAATGTAATGTAATGTATAATGAATGCATAACACTCTTCCTAACTGGCAGATGAGGCTGAAGTGCAAACTCACACCAGACAATCCTCTATTCAAACCGCATCTTTTTCAAAAATAACATTTTTTGCCCTAAGCCATGTACGGTCTAGGTGATGGATCTGCAGGAACTAAACATCAGTGAACTATATAAGGGGGGTGCAGAAGTAGATATACTGTGATGAAAAACAAAACGTGCACACAAAAAGTTAAACATATGCACGATAGTAGAACGATCCGAGTGAGTTTTCTGACGTGCCGTACCTCCGCAATCACCATTAGACTCATTCAACACTTTCCGAATCCTCAGCACTGTACTCAGATTGTCACCCAAACACTTTGAATTGTTTGTATTGGAGCTTCCGGTGCGAATGCCAAGCAGTCCGGCATACCGTTTCTAAATATCTGGCGGAGTGAATTGCGTCACGGGGCTCTTTTTTCACAAACGGTGTGCAACTGACTCTACCATATTGTGCAGAGGACAAAATCAAAAACAAACGTGCATGCCCGAAATTAAAAAGATAAAATGGCGATAATTTACCGATTGCACACTATATATATATATATATATATATATATATATATATATATGTGTGTGTGTGTGTGTGTGTGTGTGTTTGTTTATTTGTTTAAAAAGGAATTTTTTTTTCCATTTTGTCATTTAATAACCATGGAATATTTTTTAAAATTAGAAAAAAAAGCAAAAAACCTCAAAGCCGTCCGTTTAATTTAATGTATTTTTTGAAATCAAGAGGTTTTTGTAATTAAAGTTCATGATTTTTAAGAAATACATATTTTCAAGTGAAGATAATTCATTTTATTTATTGTATTGATAGATATTGATATACTTATATAGGTACATACATACGTATACACACACACACACACACACACACACACACACACATATATATATATATTCTGGTCGAGGGTTTGAGTGTGGTGTCCTTGTTCAGATTGTGGATCACGCGAGACAACACGCTCTCTCCCAGAAACTGTAACTAAGGTCTGCTCAGCATAGTTGCAGTATAAACCACAGGTTGGCTCTGTGGATGTTGAACAAACACAAATGAGTCTGACCGAGCATCTGCAATAGGGATTGGTTAGTCGCCCCAATAGACAGATACCCTCGAATTGTGTAGCCAATATATATATATATATATATATATATATATATATATATATATATATATAGACACTAACTGAGGTGAGCAGCGAGTTGTGACTGTCTATTTCAGTGCTTCAAGCCTGAAACAGACTTTCGTCTCTATTAAAATAAGTTTTCGAGAAAATAGATTTCTCAAGTCCAGTAACTGTTATTGCTCTTCCCAGTATTCATGGAGGCTTCATTCCTTATCTTTTGTCTGAAATAGTTCTTGATTATATCATTATTTTCTCTTCAGCGTTCTATCCCCGATATTCAGCACTTTTACCTAGCCGACCTTAATACTATATTTTATCATGGATATATATCTGTGTGTGTTTGTATGTGTGTAAATGCGTGTGTCTGTGGGCGACAGTTTTTCAATTGATTAAAGACGACAGACAGTTTCTTTAAAGGCGATAGACAAAATAATTTTTTTTTTATTTTTTATTTTTAAGTCAATCTTTCTTGTTTACATACAAGGGGAAGTGTATTTGGATCTAACGAGCGTGAAAAAACTGTCCAAATGTTTTAGATCGAGCGCTTTCAACCAACCATTTGAATAAATACATTTTTTTACACACATTTCATCGAAAGACACGTTCTGTTGTGCACAAAGAATGACGGTTAACTAAAAAAATAAAACCCTTTGCTTGTCGTCGTTAATCAGATTTACATTCATATATCCAAACTGCTTACTTAACGGCCGTGTAATGGAAAAGTAATCGGCGTGATGGGATGAAAAGTATATTCAATATTTGATAATGAAAATAGTTAAGAAGTTTATTCTTTTCAGTGTTTTAGCCTCTTTGCAGTACAGGACCACCCGCTCACGCTATTTTTTTTTACGAGTGGGTGCTGTCAGCTCCACATCCAACCGCTTGTAAATCAGATTTATCTTTCTTCTAGACTTGCTGTCAACCAAGGCTATAGAACACAGTGTTTCCTGATATTTAAAACATGGTAATATCAGCAGTTCACTTATAAGGAAACATTGGCCATTCATTCAACGAGCGTCCAGTGATACTTTCAAAGTTAGGATGCTTGTCTCCGTTGGTAGTTGCATAATTAAAAGAAAAACTTGTAGTTCCAAGGAATGTTTTATTTCATGGAAATATTTCGACTAGCTGTTGCTAGTCTTGGTCACTCCTTTAATTTGAGTAAAACTGTACAAAGAAACTAGAAACCCGTTTTTTCCCCTTGATTTGAATTTTTAAGCGTTTCTATTTACTTTATATTGTTTTACTCAAATTAAAGGAGTGGCCAAAGCTAGAAACAGCTAGTCGAAATATTTCTGTGAAATAAAATGTTTATTGGAACTACAAGTTTTTCTTTTAATCAGTGATACTTTCATTTGAATTTATAAAATATCTCTATTAAAACAAGTTTTCGGGAAAATAAAATTATCATGTCCAGTAGCTATTATTGATATTTCCAGTACTGATGTAGGTTTTCTTTTTAACCTTTTGGTCGAAGTACCTGTTTGCTACCTTGACCACGTAAATTTAAGCGTACTACTAGATTGCCTTCTAGGTTTCATCGTTTTACTATTAAAATAGCGAGATGTAACTGTAAGTTCTATTCGAATAGTTTCTTTTCTCGCACTTCACAATTGTGGAACTCTCTTCTTATTTCTTTCTCCCCTGTCATCTACAACGTCAATATCTTGATTAAGTCATTGTTTTCTCTTCGAGAGACATGTAATATACATTTCAGTTGTTGCTGTTGTTGGAATTCCTCATTCTGTTATTTGGTACAGTTATTTCTTAGTGATTCTGTAGCACCAGTCAACGAAGCTTGGAGGAGGATATTCCTTTCTAATATGTACAGGCTTCATTCGCTCGAAGCCATTTTTAAGCATTAGTCGCTGGGTTAAATAAGAAGTTCGTTAACAAATAAATGAATGAACAACTCTAAATAAAAAAAATATAAAAATCAGACATGCTTTACCTTTTGCAATCATACAGATGTCTAAAAAAATGAAAATAAAAGAAGATTGTGGGGATTAGGGATCTATCTCATGACTTAATGGAGTAGGGTATGTTGTACACGAACGGTATGCCGAAGGCACTTTTACCGAAGGACAAGAAGCCGAACAGACACAATGGCGAACGGATGTAAAGCCGAACAATCAGAAAACCGAATGGGCAAGAGACCGAAAAGACATACGAAAATTAAAATATATCATAATCCTACAATTTAACAGACTAAAAAAACAGTTACATAAAACTGGCCTTTTAAATAGTTTTTTTTTAACAATGTAAACATACAAAATAATCTTCTCAGACAAAAATAAATAAGAGTATTTAAAAAATTGTGAGCCAAAGATTGTTGAAACACCAATCCTTCTTTTTACTTATAAGGACTACAAATTATTTTTTATCCTATCGTTAATGGTATCATATTTTTGTTAAGTCCTCATATGTAACAAATAAAATAATTTAATTAAAAAAAAATTATAATTAAATTGCTGAATTGGTCATTACACTACGTAAGTAAGAATATTTTCGTCCTTCTGTCCATTCGGCTTTATATCCATTTGTCCGTTCAGCATTGTGTCCGGTCGATATTGTGTCCGTTCGGTTTTATGTCCGTTCAGTATTGTGTCCTTTCGGTTTTATGTCCGTTCGGTTTTATGTCCGTTCAGTATTGTGTCCGTTCGGTTTTATGTCCGTTCGGTATTGTGTGCGTTCAGTATTGTGTCTGTTCGGTTTTATGTCCGTTCGGCATTGTGTCCGTTCAGTATCGTGTCCGTTCGGTTTTATGTCCGTTCAGCATTGTGTCCGTTCGGTTTTATGTCCGTTCAGCATTGTGTCCGTTCGGCATTGGGTCCGTTCAGTATTGTGTCCGTTCGGTTTTATGTCCGTTCGGTTTTATGTCCGTTCAGCATTGTGTCCGTTCAGTATTGTGTCCTTTCGGTTTTATGTCCGTTCGGTTTTATGTCCGTTCAGCATTGTGTCCGTTCGGTTTTATGTCCGTTCAGCATTGTGTCCGTTCGGTTTTATGTCCGTTCAGCATTGTGTCCATTCGGTTTTATGTCCGTTCAGCATTGTGTCCGTTCAGTATTGTGTCCGTTCGG